GTGTTGAAATATGGGCCTACAACTTTATTTATTTTTATTTTTATTTAGTTATGGGTTGATTAATTAATGGGCCTGCTCGGCAACAATCTTATTCACATTTTATCTTTTCTTATTGCTGCTTCTAGTTAAGGAGCAGAGAAGTTATTTTACTCGTTGTAAATTATAAAGAATAATAAAAGTGACTAGGGTGAAAGTAAGAATCCCTACAATTGCTTTCTCCCAACCTGTTTCTTTTTCTCCCTCTTATCTTTCTTTTCCTCTGATTTCAGAACAATTTTATTCTTCTTTATTTTATTTTTTTCTACTGCAAATATACATGATTTGTTGCTGTTCTGAGTTTATAACTCAGTACAAAACTTTAGGAAAAGGTCATTGAGCAATAATTACGATATGAAACAAACATATCAAAAACCAATTTGGATCAATATCAGGGAGATCAACGATGGAAGATATCGTTTTAGAGATTGATGAAGAAGTTTAGGGAACAGAGGAGAGATCAACATTTGGTATTTAATGAATTAGAAAATAGGGAGACAAGAAAACTAACATTTCAATGAACTAACTATACATTTACCAGAGGTCTGATGGTATACATTGCTTGCTGATGATATAGTGCTGATTGATAAGACCAAAGATAGGTTGAATGCAAAGATAGAAAAATGGAAAGAAACTTTAGAATCAAAAGATTTCAAGAGAAGTCAGACTAGGACCGTATTCATGTATTGCAATTTTAGTAAAAATAGTAGTAACAGTGGTAGTTCAATTAAAATTGATAATCAGGAGACATCCCAGACTAAAAACTTTCAATACCTTGGATCACTCACCTATAAGGAGAAAGTAAAAGACGTTGCCTAACATTGCTATATGGGACAAAATGTTTGGCAGTCAGAAAATATGTTAAAAGAACATGTGTAACTTGACAAGGATGTTAACATGGATGGTGGCAAAACTAGAAATGATATAGTCATGTGTATACGCAACCAACGACCGCACAAGATGAGGAGTAGAATGAAAGAAAAGAACATGGTTCTATTGGTAAGTGGTTGTGGAGATTTCTGCAAGAAACTGAGAAATTGTGGCATAAGGTGGTGGTTAGCATGGGCTCTCTGGGAATGGTGGGATGCTGGAGTATCCAATAGGGTATCTAGTGCATCCCCTTGGATAAGGGGGTTTTTTTATCAGTAAACAAGTATTTTATTAAAATTCAGACTGTGAACAGTTTATACAACTTGGTGATTGGACTGTTTATCCCCTTTAATCACTCTATGCTATCCCCTCATTACAGTGCATCCCAAAACAATTGCTGTCTCAATAACCCCTGTTTCGCTAAACCATCAGATAGCCCATTTGCACTTCTTCGAACCCATTTAAATTCAGCCTCAACCTCCTTTGCAATCTTCTCCACTTCCCTAATCACATGTTTAAACGTCCATGGGGTATGGCTGCTGTTTGCTGCCCTTAGATTACTACTTTTGAGTCCCCTTCCACTTCAACATGTCTGCATCCTAGCTGTTTGGGTTCAGCCTTCAGTGAGTTTCTGGTGCCAATCGGTCCTGAGAACATACCCAATATCCTCCTTTCAGAATTTCTGAATACTCCTCTTATTCATAAGGTTCTTCCTCAATTTCTTAATTACATCAGGTATGATCTCAACTCAGGTAATAAAATCAAATTCAGGGAAGATCTTTGGGTGGGTGAAGTTCCTTTAAAGGAGTTATTCCCTTCACTATTTGCTCTCTCATTGTTCGAAGAAAACCCTATCCCTGATTCCATAATTCCCTCTCCATCCGGTTCTGGTTTTGGTGGAACTTAGGCTTTCATAATAATATAAGAGATACAGAATTGGGCTACGTTTCGGACCAACTACAAGTTCTGGAGGGGGTCTTATTAGATGTTTTTTTTTCTGAAAGAAGTTAACTGAGGTCTTATTAGATGTTAGTAAGGGGGATAGCCGTATTTGGTCTAGCCATCCTTCAGGGGTATTCAGCTGTACTTCATTCCTCAGATCTTTGTCTTCTTCAGTCCCTCCCCATTCGCCTTTCCCTGTTAAAGAGGTTTTGGCCTGTCCTATCCCTCCCAAAGTGGGAACTTTTTGCTGGGAGGACTTCCATGGTGCTATTAATACTTGTGACTTATGCAAAGGAAGAGACCTGACAGGTATCTTTCCCAAAATTGGTTTGTTCTGTGTGAATCTAATGGTGAAACTGCTTATCATCTTCTAATTTCCTGCCCCTTTGCTTGCTGTATATGGGATTGGATTTTTTTACCTTTCAGTTGCAGGCAGAAAACTCCAATTGATCTGGACAAACTGTTAGATTCTACTACTTTCAGGTGGCCAAAAAGAAGGGGGGCACTGTTGTGGAAATGTACGAGGGCTGCAGTGACTTGGACAGTTTAGGAGGAAAGAAATTTAAGAATCTTTGAGGAAAAAGGAGAAGCAAAGACTCCTTGATAGAAGGCATCATGGTAAAGATGGCACATTGGGTGGAAACAATGAATTTATTCTCAGACTTTACTCATGATGATATAATAAGGTTGTGGGGCACAGTTGCAGCTTAGTCTTCTTCAAAGAAAAAGATTTTAAGAGACTGGGACCACCTGAAAATGGATTCCTCAAATTGAACTTCGACAGCAGTAGTTTTGGCAACCGAGGTCCTGGAATTGGAGGGGTGATAAGGGATGGGAAAGGAGTAATTGTCAGCCTGTTCTCGGGATCGATAAGGATAGGGGACTCAACAATAGCAGAGATGAAGGCAGTGGTTTTTGGGGTTTAAAGAGCTGTGGAGATTGGGGTAACAAAGTTGATAGTTGAAGGTGATTCTAAGGTTATTACCAGCTAGCTGTAATGAAATGAGAAGACTCCTTGGTGCTCCAGGAATGAAATTAAAAACTTTTAGGAGCCTGTCAAGGGATTTGCAAATGGTCTTATAATGGATTCCAAGATCAGCCAACCACCAAGCAGATCACTTAGCTAAGCAAGGGGTTAGCAGAGAGCATTGTTTCTGGGCTGAAGTGTAAAATAAAATGATTAAAGTCTTTCTGTTGTTTAATGCTACTGTGTTAAGTATGTAAGAGGTAGCCGAGGCTACATAAAATCTGTATCGCTTTCCCTTAATAAATTTTCTGTTGCTGATCAAAAAAACTAAAAAAAAAAATGAGGTATAAGTAGACTAATGTGCTCAAAACTCATTCTAAGAACTTTGGAGCCAAAAACATTTAGCTTCACAAAAGAACCATTTTTGCCTCAAAACTCAGTCTTCAAATAATGATTTTCGGAGAAGAATTTTAACCAAACATAGCCTAAATAACCTCTAATATACTTCAGCAATGACTATGAAACCTGAACATAAAAAGACTATGTTGAGATAAGACTCGGGAACAGTTTGATAACAGCCGAAGTAGCTGATTTAAAAGACCCATTGCCTTGTCTTTTAGTGGATAAAATAATTAAATAATCAAACATTCAAGGGCATTGTAATCAACCCAACTTAATCTTGCATTAAGGAGTTAACAACCTCCTTAAAAACTTATAATCATTTTTGTGATTAGAAACCTCCAGGCTTTAAAATTTAAAAAGCTCACTAAACCCTTCTTTGACCCAGTCTTTTTTCATCAACCCAGCCAAGTCTACATATCTGGTCATGAGACACATGATTCATTTTTTTGGTAATAGATCAAGGAGAATTCTATTAATAATAAGTCACTAAAACCTACTAATGTGCCTAAATTAATGTATCTTTATTTAAAAAGTAACCGTTTTATATTTAAATAGTGTCACCTAATTAAAGGATTTGTTCACATTAGACTTTTACCTAATTAACTGAACACTTATAGCTGTGACTGCTGTGTAACCTAATTAATAGATTTATCAAGAAACAACACAAACAAATCTAACTCATTGTCATAAGAGGGGGGGAGAGAGAGAGAGGATGCAGTTGTTATTACCAGCAAGCTAGACGGTAACAGTGGCTGGCATGCAATTGTTATTACATGTCAATAGAGCATCTTAACACATGCACATGCACACAACAGGAAGGGAGACTGTATTTGCCTTGGTTTTCGGAAGGGGATAGAAGCAAGGGAACAGAACAGAGGATGAAAAGAAAATTAAATAGAAATAGAAGAATAATAAAGTTATCCAACAACTCATTCCAGCTTATTTCTAGGAGACATAATTTTAGCCATATAGAGAATGGATTAAACATCCAGACCATCAATTAGAAAAGGGGAGCAACTGGATGAGAATGTTAAATAGAAATAGAAGAATAATAAAGTTATCCAACAACTCACTCCAGCTTATTTCTAGGAGACATTATTTTAGCCACATGGAGAATGGATTAAACAATCCAGACCATCAATCAGAAAAGGGAGCAATTGGATGATTGGATTGGCCCGTATGATAAGTTCAATTTCTCATATTAATGTGCCACCACCACTCCATTTTTATTCATTTCCCCAATTTTAAGCAAAAGATCTTGGCTAACTTCCCAACTACTAACACCTTTTCATCATCAATGGCATCTTTCCAACTAATTTTCATTAAAATTGTTATTCCCAGTTGTTGCATTTCAACAGGTTATCAATATGAAAATAAAGAACTGTATAATGCATGTAAAAGAAATTCTATGTCAACATGTTGGAAGAATTGAACATGGTCAGATGGTCTACATAAAAATAAAAAAGGCATGGACTCATTTATTGGGTTATGATTTAATTTCCTCTTAAAAACAAGAGCAAAAGGCTAGACACACCACACTGCTGGAACAGAGTGAGTTCACTCAGAGGCGGAAGTGTAGCTGAAAATTGGTGCAAGCCAGGCCTAACCATCTAGCAAATCCAAATGATCAAGTTTGGGTTACATAGGTTAGCCTGTGGGCCAGCAGGCTTCATTTCAAATCCTATTAAATAAACAAGCCACAACTCCCATCTACAAGACTACAACCTTACAGTGGCATGGATTAAAAGTAACCGTCAGAGTACAAAGATGTTATAACCTATACCTGGAGATAACTTGAATACTCTGAAGCGCCATAAACTGTGCCTGACAAATGACAAGATGAAGGCAAAGTCAATTACAGGTTTAGAACTGAGATTTTCACGACAGAATTGATGCAACATGTCAGTATACCTGATGTATGACCAATGTTTGATTGCTGATAATAGGGCAAGGATGTCCCCCCACCTTGGGAGAGTGCACCATAACTAAAAAAGCAAGAACAGAATTTCTTTAGTATTTAAAAATCAGCAATACACACTGAAACAAACAATCAACTTGGTGAGGACAAATCAGAAATCAAATGTTAAACATGATTATCCATTTATACTTTTCCAAGCATATTAAACAACAAAAGGTATTATCATATGCCTAGTGCAAGAACAAACTAAACAAGAAAAACCTTGTTCCCGGGAAGTAACTATCCAAATGAACACAAGGATACACTCTCCGATCTAGATATTGCATATCATCATCCTGCAACACCAAGTTAACTTAGCGATCATCCCAAGTGTTCTATAACTACATCAGTACAATAATTTATTAAAACTGGGAGTTACCAATGCAGAAAATGGACGCTTCACTCCAGACATGGGGTATGCATAATCTTGATTGACAAAGCCTGGAAAGATAATCAGGTATCCGCATATCAAAATCCTCATGAGTTATTCCTTGTATTAAGTTCAATCATTTTAACCAGAAAACAACAATAGGAAGAAAAAGGGAGCATAATTCCAATATAAATGCTGGCAGTTTCATTCTATGCTTATGGAATATGAAAACACTGTGCACCCAAGCATATATATGGACATTGACACTGAAATAGCACTTGAGGGATTTTTCTCTTAAAAAGAGATAAAAAAAGTCTTCTTTTCCTCAAATCCATAATAGGTGACTAAAAAACCTCAAACCCATAAATGAAAAACTGAACATGAATACTGAATTATTGATTTTGCAAAGCTGAGTTTTTTTGTTACAATAACAACAATTTCATTAATTAGACTGTGAATATAGTAAAAGCAGGGAGGTAAAAATTCTTAACTCCCCCTAGTGAGAACAAAGCCCCAAACAAAGTCTAAAATTACAAACCCAAAATAAAGCTTCCCTAACCACCCCAATCTTTGCTAACTCGTCAGCAAATGGGTTAGCAGATCTCTTCACCCAACTGAACTTCACTTCCATGTCCATGACCAGCCACTTAAACTTTTTCTTTTTATTTCTATACCCCCATAGACCAGCCTTATGTTCTTTCAGCCACCCTACTACCACCTCTGAATTCTCTTCAATTATAAGTTTTCTGATATTCATCATTTCATCTCCTTCGCTTTTTGGGCACCTTCCACAGCTGCGCAGATCTCAGCTCTGATAGATTCCCCCATCCCTATTGGGCCTGAGAACAGAGCTAAGACTGACCCATTCTCATCCCTAAACACACCCCCAATACCTGAAGGTCCCGGATTCCCTCTGCTACTCCCATCAAGTTCAGTTTTATGAAGCTGGATGGTGGGGGACTCCATGAAATTCTCAGGTCTGTTTTGATCTGGTTACACTTGGCAATCTCACCCCACTTTCTAAGCAAGTCATCAACAGTGAAATATTTAAACAACCGAGGATTTCAACCACTGTACTACCCTGAAATGTATCAGGTCTATCAATTCTTCAGCACTCCTCTCTTTTCCAGAAAAAACTCCTTGAATTCCTTTCCTCCCACAAAGACCAGCAAACTGCAGCCCTTAGGCATCTCCACATAATCCTGCCTTTTTTTCCACTGCCACCTGAAGAAAGAAGAAGAAAATAACATCTGCAAGCTCCTAGGAGGGAGCCAACTGCACCCAAAAAGGGAAAGTGCCCATTCCCAAATCATTCTTGCATACTGGCAAGAGACCAACATATGGAAACCAGTTTCCCCATCGGCTCTACAGAGAACACACCAGTGTGGGGATAAGCATGTCTTGGGTCTCTTTTTTTTAATCAGATCACTAGTGTTGACTCTTTCCAGAAACGTTTCAAAAACTCCCAACCCTAGGTGGAATTGGCTTACCCCAGATCTTTTTAACAAGGAAAGGGGGGTCCAACAAACTGATCGGCTCAGTTAACGTTTTGAAGAAAGAAGCAGAAGAGAACAGGCCTGAGGGATTAGGTGTCCAAATTCTGGTGCCCTCCTTTGTGGGATCCAAGAAAATACATTTGAGAAGACCAAGGAGAGACGAAATGCTGTTCAGGTCAGTATCTCTAACAGCCCTTCTTAACCCCAGATTCCAACCAAACCCAAAGTTGGAAGAAGAAGGGACAAGGAAAGAAGATTTAGGCTCATTTTTCAGATCAGATAGGGCATATAAAGATGGAAAGTGGTCCTTTAAAGGGGCATTCCCTAACCAAATTTGTTCCCAAAACTTTATGGAATTAATGCAATGAAGGTAGAGTTCAAGCCAGGATTAATTACACCCCTTCTGTAGAACTCATCAAAGACTAGCATTATGTCCCTTTCCAAAACATCCCAACAGTCTTGATAAAACGCCATTGTGAAACCATCTGGGCCTAGAGCTTTTGTTTTGTCCATAGAAAATACTGCCTCCCTGATTTCCTTCACTTCAAATCTTCTTTCCAATCATTGCCTGTTTTCTGCCCCTATATCTGGCCAATCCATCCCTTCTACCCACACCCTCCCATTTAGAGGCCTTCTGAAGATGGACTTAAAATGTTCTATAAGTGCCCCTGCTATCTCATCCTGGGTAGTCAAGACCGACCCATCAACTTCCAATCTAGAGATGGAATTTTTCCTCCTCCTGCCATTTGCCACTGAATGAAAACATCTAGTGTTTCTGTCACCCTCCTTTAGCCACTTGCATCAGGATTTCTGCCTCCAGCTTACTTCCTCCTTATACAACAACTCTTCCAACTGCCTCCTCAAGCTCCCTCTCTATTCTTTATCTCCCTCTTTAGAAAATCCCCTTTCTTCTTTTAGGTCCAACACCTCAATTTGGTCCATCAGCGACCTTTTCGTTTCCTCTACCCTTCCATACTCCAATTGGATCCACTCCCTAATCTTAACTTTCAGGTATTGAAGTTTCTTATGAAATCGCATACCTTCCCAATCCACTGAAGGGTGGCACCGATCCCACCAGTCTCTGACTCTGTGTAAATCCTGGGTGAAGTAACCACATATTTTCAAACCTAAAGGGGGTAGGTCCACCACTCCTTTCCTCCTTGCAAATCACAATGGGCCAAAGATCTTATGTCAATCTCGAAAGAGCTCTAGACGTTAGGTTTCCCCAATGTTCTTCCCAATCTGTTGAGAATAGAAACCAATCCAGTTTAGATAAAATCGGGTTTGATTGGAGATTGGACCAGGTGAAGGTCTTCTGGGCTAATGGGATCTCCTTAATCTCAAAAGTATCCACAAAAAGATTAAACTTCCTCATGCTTGTTGTTACTCGCCAATTAGGGTTGTTGGTTTCCTCTGTAAACCTAACCACATTGAAATCCCCACCCACACCCCAAAGCCTCGTACATCACCCAACTCCTCCCACAATTGCCTTCTCTCCCTATAATTGTTTGGTCCATAAACATTTGTTAGGACCCACTCAAAACCATCCCCAGGTTGCTTAAACTTCATTGATATTGAATATTTACCAATCAACTCCTCCACTCCTTCGAACACTTCCCTTTTCCACAATGTTACAATCCCTCCTGAACCCCCCATGATGGGGCAGTCGCCCAATCAATCCCCCTGGCTCTCCATACACTCTTTGCCCATCTAGCATCAAAATCCATTCTTTTGGATTCCTGAATTAGTACCATATCCGGATCACACCTCTTGATCACATCTTTAATCATTGCTCTTTTCCTTGCACTCCCCAAGCCCCTCACATTCCAACTTAATATCTTCATTTACACCTTTATTCTTCCACCCTCCTACACCAAACCTCTACTTCCCTCCCTCCCATCTCCTCTTACCCCAAACTGTTTGTCTCCCTCCACATCTCTTCTTAACCTCTCCACTTCACTTAGTTTTCTGTTCTTCAAATTTCTCTCCTCCTTTTTCTTTTGTAACCCAGATTTTAGTTCATTCAAGTTCTTCACCTTGCATTCCTAGTTTTCCAACGAATTCTGCTATAGAATCCTCTCTACTAGGTGTTTCCTCCACTACCCCCCTAACACTTCCTTCTCACTTTCGTTTTCAACCCTCCCTCCACTCAACAAGATCATTCCTTGGTGCTCTAATTTTGTCCTCTCTCTGAAAAACAAATTGCTCAACCTCAATAAAAATGTTTTCAATTATTCCCCACACCTTCCTATTCTTGATCCTTACACTCACCAACTCCCCACTATCCTCCACCTTCCCCTCCATGCCCCTAGAATGGCATTCGTCTGGACTAACTGCTTTTCCTTGTAATGTCGGACTTTGGATGGGAATGGAATCTGAAACACAAGACAAAGAGCATTCATCAGTAGAAAAAACCAAATCCACAAGATTACATGGGTTTGTTCAAGAGGTGGGATGTGGGACTGGTTACTGTTTCCTCCCCAACCTTGTGTCGGGATCCGGTTTCTGTCTGTCTCCTTCGGTTGGTGGGAGTACGAATTTGTCTCACGATCAACATAGTGATCCTCTTCGTCACCCCGTAGCTTTCCTTTTTCCAATAGATTTCCGCTCGGCCTCAGGTTTCCTTGGTTTGATTCCTTATTGGCATCTTGCACAGCCTGAGCCTCTCTAGAGGGTATTCAAATCTCGAAGCACCTTCAATCCCTACTTCCTTACAATTTCCCTATTTATTTCCCCCGCTTATAGCCTATGTGACCTGCCATCTCCACATTGCAACCTATTTCGTCGCTCACACTTCCTATGCTGGTATTTTCATCGGAATTGTCACTACTTTCTTCGTCCTCCTCAGAACACTCCACCCAACCTTCATCTTCTCCTTCACTTTCTTCTAGTCTCTCCCTTGCATACCTAGGGTTCGGGTACTCAACGGAGTAATGGGCTTCATTAGGAGTAATGTAGTTTGGACGGGAAGACCACTGTAGGGCGTTCTCCCGATCTGGTTTCACCCATGCATCACCTTTCCACCGAACCAACTTGAGCTAGACGATGATAAACGAACTTCCCTGTCTATAGTCCCCTTCCCCATCGCTAGCTTTGCCCGCCCCACGTGACCGCTTAAGTAGTCACGTGGGCTCTTATAACACTTGCCCAGTTCGCCATTTAGACCACCCACTGACCCAACTGGTTCAGACCTCGTTAAACAATTTGTGAAACCACAACCTTTGGGTTTTTTAACCATGTCAGCATAGGATAACCCACCCACCCTGTTTTTGTCTAATTCAAAAAATTTTGAATTAATTACTTTAAATGGCTGACTTGTCGGTTGGTCTACCCGATTTAACTGGATCTTTTCCATTTTAACCTTCCTAGTCATTTCCTTTTCCTCCCCCATTCCCCTCTGCCCACATGTCCCCCAGCTTGGCATCGTCTTCAACTTCTGGAGTCCCTCCCCACCACGATGCCTCAATCTTTGATGCCACCCACACGCGATACCAGGCTCCCCCAGAGTAAACTTTGAATGATCGGGCCAGGTTTTATTGCTTGATTCTTACCACTCGAACCTCGATTGCGCCCAG